TTTAAAAAAAATCATGTATGAACAAATATTATAGAGATCGATATCGCAAACAACTTTTATTTCAACAATTTTCATAAAAATCAGAATTTTGCACATTTTGTCAAATTTCTCGAATACGGACCATTTCAGGAAATTTTTACATAAGGCAAAAATTATAGATAATAATATTAGAAGTAACTTTTATTTGAACAATTTTCTTCTCCAAACATAAATAACCGATATATTCCATAAAATATATAAACGGCCTCCCATAAAGTACCCCCCCAGATGTTCCGACTTTGTCCAAAATCTAATCATTTCACGTCAGGCCGAAATAAAACTTAAGTTTAAAATTTATTGATTTTTTCTTTATCCGTTTTTGAGTTTTCTTCAAATTTCGAAATTTACACATTTTCTCAAATATCTCGAATACGGTCCATTTTAGAGAAATTATGTGTAGGACAAAAATTATAGAGAATTATATTACAAACAACTTTTATTTAAACAATTTTTATAAAAAAATATGTTTTTTACATTTTGTCAAATTTCTCGAATACGGACCATTTTAGGAAAATTTTGCATAAAACAAAAGTTAGAGATAATTATATTGGAAGTAACTTTTATTTGAAGAATTTTCTTCTCCAAACGTAAATAACAGATATATTCCATAAAATATAAAAATGACCACCCATAAAGTACCCCCCCAGATGTTCCGACACTGCCCAAAATCTAATCAGCTCATTGGACGCTGAAACAAAGCTTAAGTTTAAAATTTGGTGTTTTTCTGTGTATCGGTTCATGAGTTATGCGTTATACAGACACACACACACAGACACACACACACACACACACACACACAGACACACACACACACACACACACACAGACACACACACACACACACACAGACTCACACACACACACACACACACAGACATCATCGCGAAAATAGTCAAAACGGATTCAGGGGACCTCAAAACGTAAAAATCCGTCGAAAACTCGAGGTCGAAAAAAATCATGATTCCTATACTTTCCTTATATCTGTATACAGATAGGAAAGTAAAAAAGGAAGAAAAAATAAAGTAATAAGTGTCTTAATTGAAAAATAATTGCAATCCGTTGCAATCAATTATAATTGTTACCTGTACGGAAAAGAACAACGAAACGGTGTTGTTATGGATGGAGTATGTAAAAGTACACGGTATAAATCATTCAAAGGAAATACATAATATTTTATAAATTTTCCAAAGCCTGGTCTGCAATATCGTAAAAACATTATCAAATTATCAGGCAAAATACATATTAAAACATATTTAAAATATGCAAAATGTACATTATGGGTGAAAAAAATGTGGTCGAGGTGACAAAGATTTTCGATTGATGATGTTACTAACGATAACTAAATGTTAATCTTTAATAATTGTTATTAACAATTATTCTATGTTTTATCTGATTGACTCTATGTGGAAGTTATCAATGGCGTAAGTCATTTGTCATGTTTTAATGTTAAGAAATTTTAATTTGTCTCTGACTTAGCCGAATTTTTTAATAAACATTTTCAATTTTTTACACACTTTTTTACCTTTTTCACTTTTATTTCACCAGTAGTGTGTATACCACTCTCAGTCTACTTATATGAAAAAATAAATGTTTTTCGAAAATTTTGTTTTAAACCTGATAATGTTCTTTAAGTATGTGTCATTGCTTTATCCTATGAAAAGTTCAAGCATCTAAGAATTAAATAAGAAAAATAGTGTGTATTCTTTTCTATAAAATTGCAAATGGACATTGAAAAAATAAACTAGAACAAATATATATAATGCTTGGCATTCTATATTATACTCTTCACAGTTTATCTTAATCCTCATTTTAATTTTTTCTAAAGATTTAAATTTTATATCTTTTTTGCTTCTGAGTGAGCGTGTTGACATCTCTATTTAGCTACATGTATTCGCAAAATCATCTCGCTCGTCTAGTCTCACTCATCATAGAGGGCCACAGACACAGTAAACTGTGCCATAGAAACGCGATCAGCCAGAGCGCTATGGTTTATCAAAAAAATAAATATTAACACGTATGAAATTAAAAATATTAAAATTAAATTTATATTTTTATGTTATTTATGTAATTTTAAAATAATTTGTTTTTATGAAATTTAACTGGGTGTTCACTGCACAAATGAACCAATGGAGAAACCGCCCCTGCTTAAATTTTAGTAAAAATGCAACATCTCAATTAGTAATTATGAATTTATTTCCTGTTCTGTTTTACGGTACTGTTTTTTAAAAAAATGTTATCCATGTATGTATAAATTGAGTACCGAATAATTAATAATAACTCTAATTTTTTGGAGCAGTTTTAACATAATGATGTCACACCTCCGTGAAATAAGACAAGACAATGAAAATAAATTGAATTCAAAATTACTTACTTTTGCATTTTTGCCCAACAAATTTGTTTTAGGGTTTTTATTAATTTTATCAGATTATTTTGAGACAGTCTACCTCATGGTATAAAAAATAAAAGGTAGGATATCAAAAGTGTCAAAAATAGGACGGCCACGCGCATAACGTCACGCGTAGAGTTTGTATAGGCGCGAATTTAAAAATACTGACGAAATGTGAGGAAAATATATGCTACTTACAGAAAGTTAATGAATATTAAGGATACTATTTTAGAAATTACATGAAATATCTATGGATATTATTATAGGATAGTTAAGGAAAGAACTATGAAGGAACATAAATGCAAATACATACATAAGAGAAGTATTTATTTGAACAGTTTTTTCCTTTTTCTTTTTTTATGATTCATTATGGTTATACAAATTTGACTTCTAAAGACTAGTTTTTATAACCAGGATAATGAAAAGGGTATCTTCGTAACTTGAAACTGGGGATCCTGGTAACAATTTTGCATCTGGATATGCCGGAAATTTTTATCTGATTACTCATTTACCTGCATTAAATTACCCAATTGAATAAAAATAAATTTAAAAAATATGTGTTTTCATATAATATAATGCAGACATTCATATAATATAATGCAAAGCATAAAAAAATGTACGAAATACAAATAACAGCTACATAACATATTGTGAGTGCATATACAAAATTAAAATAAAATGTCATTGCAATTTTCCTGGACAAAGTCGCTGACAATTTTTTTAATTCACTCATCAAGTACAAGTCGAAATTTTCTTTTTTTTGCCTCATTTACAATTTCACTTTTGCTTATATTGCGAAATTTTTAGCCTTCAAGTTTAGCCTCCAGTTTATAAGTCCCAAGTTGCGATTGAACCAATGTGAAGTTCTGATTGGAGGTTCCTCTTATAATTGGAAGGTTGAAAGTGCTTGGAATACATATGAAAATTTATTTGCAGGGTTACGAGCCACTGCAAGGGCTGTTCCATGTCGAATTTTCTTGGGAAGGAGGGTAGAATTGCCTATTTAGCATATTTTTTTTAATAAAAGGCTCATGGATTTTAAGAATTTTAATCTAGGTAACGGCATGCTCCTCTAAGCCTCCGCTGTAGCCGCCCTTGGGCCACTCCTCACTTCTGACTGAGCTCTTACTGTCGAAGAAAGCGAAAAACCATAATATTTTTCTTGAATCCCTTGCTTTAATTGTTACTGTTACATCCGTACCGCAATTTTTCAAAGTTTTTCACTAAAAGCACTTAGAGAGAACAAAGTTTACAACATAATATAATACAAATATCTGTTTAATACCTTATAAATTACTATAAACGACTCCCAAACTACTGCAACATGCGTCTGTCATATGATATTTATTTCGCGCCAACTCTACTAACTCTACGCATGACGTCAGAGCCGCCATGACACCATGCGCGATATCCCCCCCTGAGTCTACCTAACCATAAATCAAAAAAAAAATATTATTTTACATGATGAGGTTTATTTATACTTTTTTTTACAAAAAAATCAAATTAAAATCAAACTAAACACAATCAGCTCATAAAAAATTCATCTTATCCATCAGGGTCACGTATTCTTTAATTTATTTTGTCCATCCACAAAATAATTTTTAGATTATTTTGTTACAGTTACTACAGTAATTCATATAATCTCGTTTATTTTTTTTATTGATTGTAGCGAACTTAAATATCGTTATGATAAGGATTTTTAGTCCTCCATTTTCTTTGTTATTACATCGATTTGAGACCTGGTGTTAACATAATTGTAATTGGTTGTTAATAGACTATTTGATGACACCTTAAAAAAATAATATTAAATTTTTTTGTAATTGTTTTTAAACTGGAACTTTTATTATTCTCAAACTCTCATTATTAAAAAGGCGTCAGAGCAGATCTGTTTTATTTCCAAAATATCTACAAATTTGCAAATTAATTTGGAAGTAATGGGTGTTCCATAATGTTTTGCCGTTTTATAACTGAAATAAAACAAATGCTTTGGCCTAAAATATATTAAATTTATTGTGAAAATGTTAATATTAAACGCGGATTTTACTTTCTTAAAAATAATGTTCTCCAGATGTCTTTCTTCCCGTGTCACACATTCTTGAAGTCTGGACCTTAAATTGTAAGAAACAGCTCATATTATTTCCTCTGGAATAGCGTTTGAGCCTGAATTCGCAATTTGAAGGCCCTTAGAGTGCGTGGTGATGTTTCCTACACCTTGGACTTTAGTTAGCCCTACTAAAAAATCCAGGGAGTCAGATCAGGACTTCTTGGGGGCAGCGTATGTCACCCCACTTTAAAAAAATATCTAATAGCGTTACCAAAGATCTTCTGGTGGTGTGGGTTGTGGCACCATCTTGCTGAAAAGCGCTTAGACGACGCATAAAGGTTACATTCCAAAAAATTACATGTTTCTAAACTTAGAATCGCTGGTATTGAAAAATTTTGATATCGATTGGAAAGAGGATTAAATTTATTATAAGAATCCAAAAATGTGAAAAAAAATTTGTACAGTCTTTGGGGGTAAAATCACACTTCAAACTTTCTGAGTAAAATTTTCTATACTAATAAAATGCATTTTAAAAACAAAAAATATATAATTTATTAATAATAACAATTAAAAAACAACGTATAACATTTACAAATAATATTAATTAGTATAAAGCTTATAACAATATAAATAATTTAAAAAATAGTAGAACTCTTCTCAACGACGTGAATATAGAAATTAGGTACTTCAATATCATCCAATTCTTTGAAATCGCCGTATATTTTTGATGTTGCGTTTTCTCCAAATGCCTTTCTCAACATTTCTTTGAAAACTCGCAGCCTGTGTGGGTAGTAAGATAGGCGGAATTCACTGAAAAAATATATTTTTTAGCGTGGTCCTTAAAGGTGTTCTTTAGAAAGAAATTCTTCAAAATCTTAAAAATTTTAAAGAGAAGCATGTAGGTACCTACCTGATGGAGTCTTCAATAATCGTGTCTCTCTTGTCATCGTCTGCGGATGAAATGTCGATAAGATAGTCCAAAGTTACTAAAGCTGGGCGACCAGCCACGTATAATACTGAAGTTTTAATATCAGTCGTATGTTGACTCTGGAAAAAAACAAAAATTTAGAAATATATACTGAAATCGGACAACCGGGGGTTGATAATTAATTTAAATAATTCTTATATATTACATATTATATTCAAATTTTTATTTCGAATTCAAACAACATGCCAGCCTATCCCGCCTCGTAAGCGCCGTTTAATTACTTCTGGGAAAAGAAGTCGACGTGTAAACTGTAACGTCCGCTAGCTAAAAGACCAGATGTAAACCGATAGGACTGTATTCAGGAATTAATACAGGGCTTTATAGTCTTTATGCACCGAATTCACAGTCGTTCTCTCTCCGATATATTTGCATATATGGGAAATGTAAGTATAAATACCCGGGGTTTTTGTGGGCTGGGAGATTAGCTTTTTTATTTCCACCGAGTCAAGTTAACAAAAAACGCAAATATCCACGTTACCGCCACGGTGACTCCTTTTTCTTTATATTCTTCAAATATAATTAAAAAGAGATATCGCTATCCTTACGGTGGCCGCGCTTTTGTTATATTTTGAGAACGGAAATAAAAGATATCGTCGGAGTAGAGAAATTAGTTCCTATAAACGACGGCTTCTGCATAGATACCCAGTTGTCCTTAGGATGACCACCTTTTTCTTATATTTTATATATAAGTAAAAGGAGATATATAGTCAGGTTGACCAAGCAGATAAACGTCGAGTAGAACCAGATTTCGCTCCTAGAACTGTTTTGTAAGGTTGTATCTACCGAGCAACTAAAATATTGACGTAACTGATACTGGTGATACCACGCTAGTATACTTAAACGCCAGATATTTTATATCTCCGACTCAACATTATAAAATGTTACTAAATGATTAAAAGTACTACTCTAGGCGAAGTTCGTAGTGGATTTCGTTGTTTTGTTTTGACTACTTAGTTCTGCCAGATCTTACAGACAGTCTTTCACCAGTCGTGATTTGATTTCTGGCGAGAGAATTGCGTTTAGAGCTGCTTGGCTATCAGAGTATATGGCAATAGTTTTGCCTGATACTTGCTGATTTAGTATTTAGTATTTAGTATTAGTTCTGCCTGGAACACTGTTGCATATTTTCCTAAACTCAGCGAAATCGTTGTTTTCGACTTGGGTCCATAGATTCCAGCACCGGCTTCTACCTTGGTTTTTGAACCGTCTTTGTACCAGACGAGTTCAGCCTGTACAGGAGGTCCCTGTTTCCAGGATTCTCGCTGGTATTTGAATTTGAAAATTTCTTTCAAATTTGTATGCGGTTATGGCTCTATCAGTAGGCATAGCTAGAATATTATCCCCTTTTACTTGCTGATATAGCCTTGTGTGATCGGCGATATTTAGTTGGCTTATTGGGTTTTGTCCCTGCATTAGCCTGTGGATAGCTGACCTTGTTTCTTCTTGTATGAAGATGTGCAGTGGCGTGAGATTATTTACATATCTTAAAAAGGCTAAAATAATTCAATTTTATTGCAACTGAACCCAAAAACATTTAAATCATTAGTTATATCAAATTTAATTTGTAATTTCAATAAACTAGATTTACTAATTTTCAATAATTTACAAAGCCTAGTTTTTGTTAAGTTGGATATCAAGTATTTTGTACTAGATGTGGCAACAGGGCTTGGCTTGTGTACGTTGTTTATTATCGGTGTACAACGGCTTACACATATATTCATTGTTAAAAATGTTTTGTAGGGCCGTCAAATTCTTTAGTATATCCTTTCCCTTACCTCTTACCACATTACACTCCTGATCTACAACTGGACCGGATCGATTGTGGTATGGATGTTGGCGTCACAAATATTATATTTTATCAATGAATAGGTTAGGTTAGGTTAAAAATGAGTGGGATGATCTCATCGCCTTCCACGCCTACCTAGATGGGTCTATTGTGGCTCATGACAATGTTTCACCTACGTTAATCAGATGATTTTTGGGTATGTTGCAGTTTTTGACTTCCTGAGTTTTCGATTTACAGGGTGTTGAAATTGCAAATTGGCCATCTTTTTAAAAAGGCCATACTTCTTAACAAAGTAATTTGATTACAGATTAAAATAATATTTTCAGTAGAGTCCTGATGACATATTTTATTATTAGTTCCAGGGTGAGTCACAAATTACTGAGAATAGTTTTTACTTTATCATCAGATTATTCTTCAAATTAGTATCATTCTGAAATAGCCTCGATCTAATGGACTCCTGGCAACGTTCATTACCAAGTAGTCATGAGGTAAGGTGAGTTCAATCTTCATCTTCTACCAGAGATTCCACGGAAATTAAGAGAGAAGGACAAAAATATGAGATAAGATGAAAAATAGTATGCAGTGCGTATAAGCCACTATCTCTAACAAACTCTTTTATTAGGTAACATGTTTCACTCAACTAATTTTTATATTAAAATAATTTAGATTTATCTGGATAATCTTATTAATGTAAAGGTCATCGGTCTTTTCTAATATGAGATTGCAAAATTTATACAGAAACTTTGAACGTGATTTTGCATGTTTTTTTAAGAATATCTAAATTGTGTATTGTTTACATAATAATTATGTAGTCTTGAAAATATTATAAAGATATGAATAATCGTTTACTAATTAAAATTTTTAGACTTCGATTTATTGAGATATCATTCCCTTACAGTCAAATTATAAAATGGCGGTTATGATGCTTCGATAGATGGAATTTGGCGTTTTTCTTAATTTTCTTCATAAATGACTGATGTACAATAATTTACTGATAACACATTAAGTACTTACAAGTATTTACAATTCATTAGAACCTTAGATCATCCATTAACTTACGATTTTTTATTTTTGTATATTTTATTGTTACTAGTCGTCAGCGACTAACCTTCATTTTTGTTTTATTCCTTTAAACTTAGTTAATCCCAATGGTATCTCTTTGATTATAAAATAAGCACATAATGTTGACAAACTGTCTTCGTGGCAACGCATCCGTGCCTCGCATTCGAAAGGTAATGGGTTTTATAGGTTCAAAACCCACTACCGCCGGACCTGCTAAGTTTTTTCAGACGGTTTCTCATAGTAATAGTCAAATGCTGGATCAGTAACATCCTCTTAGATACCTACAAACATTTCTTTCACGCCACCCTCTCAGACATTAGATCCCTGATTAAATCAGTGTGGATGAAGCGGCTTGGACAGCCTATATTGGCGCGCTCTGGGAGTAATGGATTACATGTGCTTTACGATTGCCTTGTAGTGTTTCACTATGCTCTGATCTAACACTATGCAATATGCACTACACAGTAACTCTCTTTATCTTTATCAGTTAGATTTGGCGCAGAACACTGCGGCCTCTTGGGTCTATTGTATTCTCTTGCTTTTCCCGTATTCAAGTACTATCTTTGGAATAGTCATCTGTCTGATTAGTTTTACTAAGTTCTCTACCAAGTGTTCCAGGGGCGTTCTTTCCGGTTCTAGACCGGCTACAATAATTACACAAACTCAAAGGGTTTAATCCTCTTAATTCTTCTTTTTAAGCCTTTACTATCCAGGACTTGTATGACCTCGATATTGTCGGGAGCTTGGAGTATTTTTTCTTTGATTGTCGGTATCTTCAAATCTCCGTGCAGGTGAATATTTCTGTAATATCATGGTGCGTCTACAATAATTTGAAACATTTTATTTTGATTTAAATTTTGTCTATATTGCTCTTTGCTTCACATCCCCAGAGCTGGATTCCATAGAGCATAGAACGATGGGGATGTAACCCAAACATACTGCGATGAATGTATACTACAATAGTGAGACCAATCATCACTTACGGGGCTATAGCCTGGAGTAACAGAACTAGTTTAGCTACTACGAGAGGTAATGTCTCAAAAGTACAAAGACTAGCCTGTGTTTGCATCACTGGTGCTATGAAAACTTGCCTTACGGCTGCAATGGAGGTGATCTTAAACCTCACCCCCCTTTATTTGATGATAGAAAATGTGGCGAAAAGGACACGATATAGAATGATCAGAAACGGAGTAGTCAGACGAGTCTACTTGCTTCAGGACTTAAAATACCTGGGACATGCCTCAGGATGAAATGCTAAAGTACAGTTTTGTGAAAAACTTCAAAACCACAGACCTGAACTGCAAGAAAGAATAGAGCCAAGAATCCATCGCGCTTGCAACCGAAAGATATGCTATTCAGTGGTATACGGACGGTTTCAAAACCATAGAAGGAACTGGAATAGGAGTGCATGGGCCGATAACCAAGAACTCCGAAAGCTTGAGAAAATACCCAAGCATCTTCCAGGCGGAAATTCACGCTATCGAGAAGTGTATCCAGTTTAACATCGAGAAAAACTATCATAGACAAGAGATTATCATCATGTCCGATAGCCAAGCAGCCATCAAAGCGCTGAGCTCTTACGTAATCTCTTCAAAAATGGTCTGGAGATGCCTAGAACAATTGAATGAGCTAGGCGAGAAAAATAGATTTACTCTCACTTGGGTCCCGGGGCATAACGGGGTACAGAGTAATGAGATTGCAGATAGTCTTGCAAGAAAAGGGATTCAAACACTCTTTGTAGGACCTGAGCCGTTCTGCGGTATCAGCAGTAACATAATATTAGGAGAGACTAAAAAAGAATTGGGCAGTAGAAGAACCGAAAATTGGAACAATCTTTTTGGGCTAAGACAGGCTAAGATACTTCTGGGTGAATATAATCAGAAAATATCAAAAGCCTGCATCTGCCTGAGCAAGAACAGGCTACGTATTGTAACAGGGATCCTTACCGGGCATTGCCGACTAAAAGGACACCTAAGTGAACTGAGAGTAGTAGAGGATAGTGAGTGCAGATTCTGTGATGACGAAACCTCCATTCACATCCTAACTGAATGTGTAGCACTCCAGAATCCAAGGGCACTTTATCTAGGAAGATATAAAATAGAAGAGGGAGATTTACCTAACTTGAAGCCACTTCAAATCCTTGAAAAAATATGATTAGAAGGGTCGTTATAGGCATTTAGACACTTCCTTGGGGCATTAGCGACAGAAGGAGGGACACAATAGATCTTTTAGGTCGCAATGTATTAACACCCCATTCCCAACATAACATAGAGCCAGACTGGTTTTAAAATAATAAATTATATAAAGTTTTTAGTTTCGTCCCAATACTCAGTATATTTTTTTTAATGTAGTATTGTTTTAAGTCAAGTACTGTCCCTTTTTCTTTATATGTTTTTCTTCTGCTACGAGTAGGTACATGCTTTAATCGAAATGCTGATTTTATTAGATAAGTGAACTTAACCAATGCTTTCCTTAAGAATTTCTTTAATTATAAGGTTAAAGTCAGTAGCATTAATTGGATTTATATTTTTCTTAGTTTTATCCGCTACTTCTGTCAATGTTATTGGATTCATGCCTAAATTTTTAACTGTATGCTATGATTTCCAATTAGCTGAAATGTTTCTTCCAAGTGATTTGACTTGGCCCAACTTCCATTTGCAGTTCTGATTGGTGTGCAGTATGTCAGTGGCCTTTTTGGTCTTCTGATGTCTTTCCAAAAGAAATAGTTTGTTTCATTATCATCTGCTAGTTCTTGTAAGCACTTATTTTTAAGTCGTTATATTGAGAAGCTCTGTTTAGTCTTGTTTTATCATCTGGTGCTCTTGTTTTTGCTAATTTTTTAATTTTCTTATTTTAAGATGATTATTTCGAAATTATTATGAATTGTAGAGAGAAAGAGACATGGTTAAGAGCCGAGTGTGAGTCAGTGCTGTTTAAGTAATTATTTAATAAAAATAATCGTACGATTGGGACCATTACGGATGTCTCTGTCTAAAGATGAAGAAAGGTTGGCATGTTGTCTACTAAACTGTTTGATTGACAAATTTGTATAGACATTGTTCGGCGAGTGACCAAGCTATCACTTAATGTATATTTGCGGAAAACGTCAACTTTGCAGTTGGATTTCGAAGTGCAAAAGCCCACTTTAGCTAGTGATCTTAGAAAAATTTATTTTTAAGAATTCTGTTGATTATCTCGATTTAAAGACCTTTATTATTTTCGCGAAAACAACCTTGCTTTTGTTTACTTACATTGTAATATATGCATTTTGTTGCAGTTTTTCCTGTATCCATAATATCATCATAATTTCTGTGGTCAATTAAAAGCAAACCTCCTGGTTTTACGCATTTTTCAAAATTCCTTAGAGCTTGCCTGAAAGGACAAAATATATTTTAATGCACAAACTACACTTATCTATCTTCTTTCAAAAATATATTAGTCCTAAATTGTGAATGAATCGACTTACATTTGTTCCCTTTGATCTCCAAAATTGTCTAATAAATGGGCAAATGAATTTCCCAAGCAAATGACTGCGTCAAAACCATTTCCAACCAAGTCTTCAATATCGTCATATAAAGTTATCCAGTTTGCTTCCTCAATGACTGAAATTTAAATTAAATTTAAACAAAAAAATTGACATTGAATTGTGTCGACAAAAGAAACCCTTTGATTTGTCATTTAAGGAGATTTAAGGAGCTGGGTCATCATCAGACAGATTAGACAGCCCGCGCTAAATCTCCAAATTCCATTTAACGGATGCTATTCTTATATTAAACAAGATAATTCAGAATGTGACTGGTGACGCCACCTCCGTTTAAGTAGACAAATCAAAGTTAGTTAAATACAGTATTCTACTAAGTAAATAAAACGGTACTTTCGTTGTATACTTTGGCAGATGGTTTTTTTTATTTAATCATTATATTGTAAGATGTAATATACTTACTCCATTTGTCAAAAGATTCTTCCCTTCGTCTATTCCATCTCTCTTTAAGGGCATATTTTAACATTTTGTCAGAAGCATCTATTGAAACTACTTCAAAACCTTCTTCTAATAACATGATGGAGTCGATTCTGAAAAAAAAAACAATTAGAAATACCGAATTCGTCCTTTATAGATAAAATAATTTAGATTTCTAGTGTTTAAACACAGAAGAAAACCTTCTGTTTATTATCTGCCAATATATACAGTGTGGTCCATTAGTGCGAAGAAGTCCAATATCTCACTTATCGTAAGAAATAAGAGAAAATCTTTAGATAAAAGTTATAGGGTTTGCTTTTTTGTCTATTTTTAAAATACTGCGAAATATATACGGTGTTTCGTTACATCGGGATAGCTTGAATCTCGATGTTTTTAAATGACTCACTATTAATTTCAGAGTAAAATGTTACGTTTCAGTAATACATTTTTTTAATCCTGCGACGTTTTCAACTTATGGCAAAAATATTGAAAAATTGTTCACGACAAATTTATTAATGACACCCAGTAAATTATTTCACTATTTTTTATTTATTTTTATAATATAGGCCCTAAAAGTGATAGTTTGTGACAAATTTTTATTTTAATTGGTAAATTAAAGATAATATAGATAAAAGAGATGATTTCCAGGCACTAATGAGCAGGCAGGAAAACAGACAGGAAGAACAAGTGAGTTAAGATCATTAAGTATTAGAGCGAATTACAGTGGTGTACTCTTTAAGGGTAAATCAGTAGAAATATCAAAAAGGATATAAACCTCTTAAAGTTTTTTGTGTCTCGTATAACTTTTGAATATATATTATTGCACCCTTATTAACAAAAAGATTATTATCGACCTCTGATCTATTATAGAGCTCAGTTATTAGAACAGCTACTATAATTTGAAATCTGGAATTTTCATAATCAACCAACATTCCTGACTTGAGTATTATAATACCGTCTTTTTTCTAGGGATCTCTGTAAAGAATAATTTGCCAAACGGCAGTTTGGGTACATGAGAGTCGGGTTTTAATTAAAAGTAATCTTTCTCAAGTGTTACTGGGAAACAATAATATGCTACTCTTCACATATCATTCAATGTGAGATTCTGTGACACTAATACCACAAAACATTGGGTATTTCTAATTTGCAGATTGGAATTTGACGGCTGCCAGCTACTAAAAAAATTGTTTAGGGTTAATAATTAGGGCATGTAATACACATCCCAATACTTTTTTGCCAGGTGAAACCAAATTTTCCTCCAATGCCTCCAAGAGGTAATTTACTCTTGTCAATTTTGACAGTGTCAATTTTGACAGAAGCAGTGCCAAGTAGTAGAAAATGCGCGTTAGACTACTGAAACTTCTTACAAGTAATACCTATTCAAATACCTTTTTGCTAGGTGAAACCATTTTTCCCCATCGTCTCCAAGGGGTACTTCGCCCTTGTCAATTTTGACAAAATCAGTACCAGGTACTAGAAAAAACGCATTAGATTACTGATACTTAGTACACGTAATACCTATTCAAATATATTTTTGCCAGGTAAAACTATTTTCTCCCTTCGCCCCCAAAGGGTACTTTGCTCCTGTCAATTTTGACAAAATCAGTACCAGGTACTAGAACAAACGCATTATCTTACTGAGACTTCCTACACGTTATATCTAATCAAATATCTTTTTGTCAGGTGAAGCCGTTTTTCCCCATCGCCTCTAAAGGGTATTTTGTTTTTGTCAATTTTGACAAAATCAGTGCCAGGTATTAGAAAAAAACGCCATAAATTGCTGAAACTTCGCAAACGTAATACCCATTCCAATAACTTTCTGCCAGGTAAAACCATATTTCCTCCCATTACCTTCAAGGGATACTTTGCACAATTTTAACAAAATCAGTTCCAGGTACTAGAAAAACCGCTGTAAATTACTGAAACTTAACATACGTAATACCCATTCCAATACCTTTTTGTCGAGTGAAATCATTTTACCCCCCATTACCTCCCAGGGGTAATTTGCCGTGCCAGGTATTGGAAAAAGTGCGCTAGATTGCTGAAACTTCACAAACATAATACCCAGTCCAAAACCTTTTTGCCAGGCGAAAGTATTTTCCCTCCATCGCCTCCAAGGGGTACTGTACCTTTTCAATTTTAACAAAATCAGTGCAAGATACTATAAAAAACACATTAGATTACTGAAACTTCGTACAATTAATACCCATTCCAATACCTAGGTGAGACCAATTTTGTCAAAGTTTACAAGTTATTACGTGTACGAAGTTTCAGTAATCAATGTGTTTTTTCTAGTATCTGGCACTGATTTTGTAAAAATTGAGAAGAACAAACCTCTTTAAGGCGATGGCGATAAACTTTCATCGGACAAAAAGGTATTGGATTGGGTATTACGTAGTGATGTCGTGTCTCTCGTCTCGTCTTGTCTCGTCTCGAACGAGACGAGAGAGACATTTTCTCTCGAAAACAGATTCGAGACGAGAGGGTATCATCTCTCGACGAGAATTTCTCGTTTCTCCCGAGCTCTCTCGGGCTCTCTCGAACAATTTTCTCTTTGCTTATTTGAAATTTTCAATTGCTTATCGTAACTTAAAATTTTAACATAGATTTAGAGAAAGTTAACTATAACACACCTATTCTATATATATTAAATGGTAACTTGTGTTATTAGGATTTTATAAATAGTGATTTATAAGAAAAAATATTTCTCATTTCATTTATTTAAAATTTATACAATCATTTCTTATATTTAATCCATTCTGCTTTTCTGAGCTTACCTTTGAAGATAAGTTGAAAATGTTTAAGCGTTTTTTCGAAAAACTGTCAAAGAAAAGGTGATACACACGAATATATTATATTATTATATACAGTGAGGACGAAAATTGTACCCTCCTCTATTTTAACTTCTAAATGAAAAAAGATAATGACAAAACAAAAACGAGGTAAAACTCAAGATATATTATATTTTTGTTTTAACGAGATGCACTTTACTTGAGACACGTAAGATAGAGGGAGTTACTAGCTTTAAATGTTCTAATGGAAAGTAGGGTCATGTGATACCTCATTTGAAATATATTTTGTATATTTTTACGTTCATGTAAAAAGATTTAGGTTTTTATGTTTTTACAGAAATTACATTAAAGAAATTCATAAAGTAGGTTAATTTTTTTTTTATTTACCACTTCAACCTCAAAGGATCATTACCAGAAGTATAATACCTTGTAAATGCTGTTTTTTACAATAGTCTACAATGGATAATTAACATTTTGGCTAGTACAGAGTAAATGTCAGTATCTTTTATAAATTTAAGTAATTTTTTTACTGTTAGAGGGATTTAACACTACACAAATGGCAATTTTTTGTAGCTGGTACTTTGTTCTTATACAGATATATTCTGGGCTTTTACTAATAAGTTACATTCTTGATAACTCTCGTATTAACAATTATTGCTTATTACTAAGCAAACGCTTCTTGTATTTACTAAAATAAATAAATAAATTAAGAACATCAAAGATGATTTAAAAACCACTTGACGTATTAAATTTTTCATAACTTTTTAGCAAAAAAAGCTTATTAAAAAATTATCTTCTAACATTATCTAACATTTCTAGGATTATTGCGGCACACAAGGATTATCAAGAATGAAATTTTTGTAAAAACAAAAAAAATTAATACTGTTTGCTTGGACGTAAAAATAATCAAAATATCTTTCAAATGAGGTATTACATGACTTTACTTTCCATTAGAAAATTTAAAGATAGTAACAAAAATATCATAATCTTTCTCTAATTTCACATCGTTTTTGTTTTATGTCTTTATTTTCTTAAATTTTGAAAACACACTACAAAATGCTTTTATTTGACATCGCAGGATTGCATTAGAAAAATTCTAACTTCCAATTTAACCTCTTCCTCTTCCCCCTCTCCCCAACTGACTTACAAGACAAAGTATTTTCGTTTTTAGTTAACGCCTAATCTGGGCCACTTATTACTTCAATTGTAAAACGACTGTGATAGACGGACAGACAGAGAGACATAAGTGTTTCTTATTGCCAAATTTGGGTACTAATGCGCAAATTACTTGAAAAATTATTTGTTTTTGTCTCACAAATTTTACCGTTTTTTCACGTTTCGTCTTTTTCAAATTTAAATTTGATATTGTTTTATCCTGAGAGAAACGAGACGAGACGACACAAGACGAGAGAAAGGCTCTCTCGAGCGAAAGAAGCGCCTTCTCGTCGAGACGAGAGAACCTTTTTCTCTCGCCCTACGAGACGAGACGAGAGAGACCACTCTCTCGTCTCATCTTGTCTCGCGGCATCACTAGTATTACGTGTGTGAAGTTTGAGCAATCTAACGCGTTTTTTGTACCCGGTACTGATTTTGTTAAAATTAACAAAGGCAAAGTATCCCTTGGAGGCGATAGGAGAAAAACGATTTCGCCTGGCAGAAAGATATTTGATTAAGTATTACGTGTACGAAGTTTTTTCTAGTAACTGGCACTGCTTCTGTCAAAATTGACAAGAGTAAAGTACTTGGAGGCATTGGAGGAAAAAGTTATTGGGATGTGTGTTACATGACCAAATTATTAACTCTTTAACTATTGGTCGTTTAGTACCTGGCAGCCGTCAAATTCCGTTCCGCAAATTAGACATACTCCAAAACATTATACAAATACAAACAATTTTCAATATTCTGTGTTAATGATCAAGAAATAATAAAATTAAAAAAGATATTACCATTTATTTAGTTGTAATTAATTGTAATATAATGTAAAATAGGTCAAATTTTATTATAATCTCACAAAGAAATTGTAATTTTTCTTAATACAATTAATTCGTTCAAAACAAAAAAGCTAATAGCAACTAAGTATACGTCACGTTGTCGAAATAATGATATTTCTTGAGTCATCTTTTATTTTGTCAAAAATGTCATCTATCCTTGCATAATAGGTAGAATAATAACATGTACTTGCAATATTTAACTTTATTTATCATAAATTTAATAACAATTTATCATTGTGAATTGCGAAACATGAATAATCTTAAAAATTGACGTAAAAGTGGTTTTGCCGATTATTTTAAATTTAAATTAAATCAGCTGATTGTTTTTCAGAGATGAAATATTTTTGAAAATAATGATTTATTTGTAGAAATATTTCTTATGCTTCATTTGTAATTATTTTTAAGTCAAATTAGTTTTGAAATACATTTATTTGGCTAATAATCAGTTAACCTTTAACGATAACGGAAAAATTATATTTAACCTTTTTGCTTTATTTAGAATAGGTTAATTCAATTATATATTTATAAACTTATGTTTTTGATAGGAGATAGGTGATCTTTTGTGATTTGAATTTAAAAAATAATTTTGTTATCCAATAGAAAGGTGATGAAATACATAATATATTAAAATGCTTTGATTACAGTTATTTTAAATAAGAGTTGTCTCTAGATATATCAGACAAAATAAGGCCTTGTTTTTAAATTTAACATTTTGTGAATGTATGAGAATATAAGAATTTATTTTTAAATCAATTTTGATCGGCTTAAAATGAACTACGATTTATGATAAAAATAAATAAATATCTTACCCAGTTCCACATGCAACATCGAGAATTCTTTTGCATCCGTGTTTTTTCAACAATCCCACCAAAAAGTTCTTGTAATTTTGGGTCCTGGATTTCTTATCACCGATGAAGATCTGCCAAACTTTTGCGGCTTTACCATCTGCATACTGATCTTTGACACCTTCAGAGGCGATACCCAGAGATCTGGTTGTGATTGTGTTTTCTGCCATTTTTATTTAATCTGAAAAAGTATGCGTGTTTATAAGTTATTATTTTAGTAAGTTACGAAAATAATAGTGTCGCAATAGGCTCTAATGCTGCAGAGCCTCTACGCTTGAGCCCTAGAGGTCCTGAAGACAGACTCCAAAGATATTGGTTCTACAAAAATTCTGAATAAAAATGGAGAGACAAGGGAGTTGAAATATTGAAAAAATTCTAACTCAGCAACAGAAAACAATACCAAATTGAAATCATGAGGAACAATCAAGCTTTATGAGGGGATAGAGCCTATTGATTCTGAAAAAATCTTAATAAAAATGAGGGGTTAAAAGGTAGTTAAAATATTTAAAAAGATCTGAACTTAAAAACGAAAAATAATATCAACTTGAATTTTTATCAAAAATCAATCTCTATAAGGGAAAAATTCCTCTTAAATTTGAAAAATAATCCTAATAAAAATGAGGGGTTTAGAGGAGTTGAAATAAAAAAAATCTTAACTCCAAAACGAAAAATAATATCAACTTAAAATTTTTAGCAAAAATCAAGCTCTATAAGGAGACAATAAAAATTGATTTTAAAAAAAATTGTGATCAACACCAGAAACGATATCAACATTAAATTTTTAGTAAAAATCAAGGCTCTGAGGGAATGAAAAAAATCTAAATCAAAATTGGGCGATAAGGGTGGTTGAAATATTGAAAAAATCCTAACGTAGAAACAAAAAAAAAACAATATCAAATTGAAATCTTTAGGAAAAAGGAATGAAGCGTATTGATTCTGATTTTGTTTTTATTGAAAATGTGGGTTAAAGGGGTCTGTTAAAACATGAAGAGTATAATATAGAATGACAAGCATTATATACATTCATTTCAGTTTTTATTAATGTTTTTTAATGTAACTTAGTTATTGATTAATTTTTTTAATTACACGATTTAATTAATTTCTACATAATTCACTGCATGTACAAGAAGTTCACTACAGAAGTTTTTGCAATAAGAATAGCTATATTGGTCATTTGGAAAATCCACTCGAGTTGTATAGTATATTTTTTTACGCCCGACTAAATAAAATTACATTAGTGGTTATTGAGATAACACAACTATTTTAAAAATAATTAACACAAAGATTTCAATTTACAATTTTTACTAATACTAAAAAAAAATAGCCTTTGAACGGTTTTATCTACTTACTCTACAAATATATTTATAGAAGTAAAAATATAATTTAGGTAAACAAAAAGAACAAAAGGCACTCAAAAAAAAAACAGTTACAGTAATTAATTGTCAGTAAAACCAAAATTACGTCATTACTAATTTAGTGTCATATTAAATATGAACTGTGATTGATAGATCTCATAGAATAGACAATTTACATGTAGGTGTAGAAAAAATAATATTCACAGAAAAAAGATTGTTGACATTTCATTATTGTCAAGATAGTACACATATAAGATTTAATAGATATTTGGTAGGCAATATATTTCAATGTTTATTTAAATTTTTTACAATGATATCCTAAATTATGAAGAGAATTTAATAATTTATGAACGTTGAAAAGTTTTAAAAATAAGTTCAACCAAAATAGAAAAAATAAAAAGTCAACTTAAAAATGAAAAAAATAAAAATACAATATTTTATAAAAAAAATTCATTACAAAAATTAAACAAATAATTCAAAAGTTGAAGTAAAAAATGGACATAATAATCACCAAAAAACAAATGATTTGAAAAGAGGAATAAAAAGTATTAGAAAGGGAAAAGAAAAATGAAGAAAAATTGTTGGCTGTGGAAGAAATTATTGTTTAATTTCATTTAAGCAAGTTAATTATTTTTTATTAAATATTTAAGCAATTTTAATACCTCTACAAAAAATTCTTCTACCACTCAACTTCACTTTTCGTTCTTTGAGATTAGCAATGACTTCCAACTTATGTATTATATATAACTACGATATGCGTTTCGTCATCATTATTATCTGCTGGATAGTACCCATAAAAAAATACAAACAAAAGCAACAGTTAAAGCGGTCTTGTTTTTAACATGACAGTATTACATCAGAAAGTTCTAATTCACGATAAGGAGAATTTTAATGAAATAACCGCGAGGAAATTATACACAGAAGCAGTGGAAATTTGAGAAAAGTATTACGTAAGCAGAGATGAGACAGCAATGTTAACATTATTAAAGTTGTTAGTAGAACTACATTTGTAGACAAATTAGATACTGGATGAAAACAATTAGTAATCGTTACTTTTCATTAATTGTCATTATTTCTAATCGGTCCATCGGTCGACAAATAAAACATTTAGATTACAGGGTCATCAAATAGTATACTTATCAATGAAAGCATTCTCAGATGACGTCTTATTAATAGTACAATAAAAATAGTTGTTTTTTTAACTACATGTCAGTGTAATACATGAATCATTAGGTTAGCTCGAATTTTGAAATATCTCCTTGATGAAAAATTTTATGCTTACAAAATGACGTAGTTCACCGAAGAAATAATGGAAAAGCTGAACAGGAATGAGGTAGGTCTTAATAATATTATTTTTCTGATAAATCAACTTTCGTCTTTCATGGCCCAACAAGTAATCAACTGACGAGAAACTGATGGCCCTTTGCCGGGATTGATGTAGAGATGCTGATGGTTTGTGGGCCATAAGTCATTAATTGATGTTGGCCTTGCGATGGGGGCACTCACTTCCCATCTCATGTGTTTGTGAGTTTTTAAATGACATAACAAAATACAAATGGGTTTTGGTTAAGAGAAACAAAAAGGTGGGAAGCTTGCAGAATATTCATAGATACAAGATCAATAAAGTACATTAGAAAAAATATAATAAGACATTTTTTTATGAATGTCATTTTGTTGGTACTTGCAAAAGGCAGACAAGAGGTGTTTTATTTCTTCAAGGTGAGTATTTTTTATGGAAAATTAAAAAAAATAGTAAGCAAGTATTAAAATAGATCCAGTTTTGTAGTAGTACAATCATATTTTCAAATTATTAACACTTAACGATTACATAAAGAATTTTTTTATTCAGATTTAACCATGGTCAAATTTTATCCGGAGACACTACTTTTTTCAATTCGCATCAAATCTGTACAGGGTGAGTCAAAACACAAATACATAATTTTCTCAATTTTTTAAATGGTTCGCCCTGTATTTTATATCATCGTTCAAAAGTATCGTAATTACACTTTAATTTGACTTAAGCATTCCCTATACCAAAAGTTATTAATTTTTATAGATTTTTAAATTTTAGTGGTAAAAACGATAATTTAGAAACTAATTATTGATAGAAAATACATTCTGTTTGATAATTAGTAATTATTACAATTTAACCAGCTGTAATTTATTATCGATTTTTACATTAAGAAAGAAAAAATATTAATAGCTAACACAAATTCATACTTTATTATTTAAATGTAATTTTTGCAAATTATATTTAATTAGAACAGTTGTTCAAAGTGGTCTCCCATAATATTTATGCAGGCCTGAAGACGGTTTTCAAAGTTCCGACTCACATTTCTAAGCATTTCCACAGTAATACTTTAAAATGCCTCTCCTACTCGTATTTTCATATCATCTACTGTAGTTGAAGGTATTTTATACAATAGATCCTTAACGTAGCCCCAGAAAAAAAGTCCATTTTAGTTACATCTGGTGACCAACGGATTGGCCTGCCTCTTCCTATCCATCTTCCTGGAAACTGATCTGCAAGTTTTTCATTTACAAGAGCGTTATTGTGAGGAGGAGCACCATCATGTAAATACTACATTTTTCGGCGTACTTCAAGAGAAAGATCTTCGGGCAATATTCGTAAAGAATTCACTAGAAAGTCTAAGTACAATTCCCCATTTACAGGTTCGTTAAAAAAATGAGGTCCTATCACGTACTCACTGATAATGCCACCCCAAACATTTAAAGACCACCTTCCCTGACTGTGAGTAATTATATGGTATGGATTAGAAGTGGAATAATAATGAAAGTTGTGCCTATTGACACAGCCATTTCAATGAAAAGTTGCCTCATTTCCAAAAAGCACGTACTCAAAAAAATCTCTTCGTTCAGTAATTTTTTGTTGTGACCATTCACAAAAAGTTACCATGTGTTCAAAATCCATAATAGTGAGTTCTTGATGTAGTTGCATGATACGGATGCATTTTATTTTTGGAAAGTATTCTTTGTACTGACGTATAAGTTATTTACTGTTCTCCTGAAATATTTCTTATACTTGTATTTTTGGTAACTGCTAACAAAACATTTAGTTCATTTTCCTCTTTAGTAATAGTTTTTGTTCTATCAATTCTCTTATATGAAACTGACCCTGTTCTGTTGAATCTAGGGTTGCCGAAACAGTTTTTGTTCTATCAATTCTCTTATATGAAACTGACCCTGTTCGGTTGAATCTAGGGTTGCCAACCATACTTTATAATAACGTATCCTACTTTATTTTTGATAAATATACTTTATACTTTTGATTAAAAGTAAAGTATGCGAAAATACCTTATTTCCAATCTTTATTGTGATACCTAGAACCAAACACTCATTATGGGTTAGTAAGTATCTACTGAAATATTTATGGATACATATGAGTTAAAACAAAATGTACCTATAATGAAAACGATTAATAATTACTGAACGAAATGTTATATTTTAGTCATAACAGGTGACTTATATCATAGATATCACTATCGACGAAATCAAATTTAAATTGTCCTCTGTTTTTGTTTAATTAATATTATTATTTACTCTCTATTCTCACCACATCAGCTTTCATTGAGATAGTTTTTTCGGTAATGAACCTGAAGTGACAAAAAAAAGAGAAACAGAGCGTCGATGATTTTAAATTAAAGATGCAATTGTAAAGCAAGTTTTAAAACTTTCAAAGATTGCAAAAAAATTGTTACCATATGCTAAAAGCACACAAAAATATTTTTTTAAGGCAATAAATACGTAAATTTGAAAAATACTTTTTTCTACCTTTCAAATACTTTTTTTCTTCCAATTACTATATTTTTTCCTATTGAAACAATTTTATACGTTTTTTTTTTGGTTAAAAAAGTTGGCCATAGATGATTTAACTTAAATCATCCATCAGTTTTTCGAACGATGTTTTATTTGGCGTTCTACGCTCTGGAAATCGTTCTTTATAAACTCTAGTTGCTAACAAAGAGTTTTTATTGCATTCTCCCAAAATCCATACCATATCAACTAATTCATCACGACTATAATTCATATTAAAAAACTGGCGAGACTTTGTAGGAAACAAATAATGCAACACTAATAATAACAAATTGTCAGTATTGGGGGTTTTCAAAGTCAACTTAAAAAAAAATTAATGAACAAAAAATTTAGTAGGTTTCATTTGTAGTTTGTGGTTGCAATGTTTATTTCTTTTTCTAATAAATGTATAAGTAACATTACATATTGTCAGAAACTTACTTAGTCGATAATAAATAATTACTTAAGGTTAAATTCAATTAATTACTAATGATAAATAAAATGTATTTTCAATTGATTACTTTCGAGGGTAATTTAAATATAAAATAAAATACAGGGTGATCCATTAAAAAGAACATAGTTGGTTCCTGAGAGAAATTATTAAACACCCTATATATTCAAAAATAATTTTAAAATATGTAGTTTAACGCTGTGTACCGTTCTGTGAAAATATTTTTTTATATCTCTAATAATGGTGGAGATATTGGACTTTTTCACACTAATGGATCACCCTGTATATAGGTATAATAATAATAATAATAATAATAATAATAATAATAATAATAATAATAATAATAATAATAATAATAATAATAATAATACTAAAATCTAATTGTGAAATAAAACAAAATAATTAATCTGGTCTACAGAGATGTAACTATTAACAAATATCGTGCGGTCCTGAATAAGACATATTCTAAGGGACACAGGAGGGTATAATATCCGCTGTTGTCATATGCCTATTTCTTCATTATTCTCGTTTTGTTTACAAAATTATTTACATATATTAAAAAAGCTAAAATAATTAAACCTATTTTATTGCAACTGAACCCAAAAAATTTTGAATCATTAGTTATATTAAATTTAACTAAATTAGATGTAATTTCACTAAATGAGATGTAATAATTTTCAATAAATTCCAAAACCTAGTTATGTTAGGTTGGAAGTGGCAACAGGGGCCCTATTCTCGAATGTCTATTTCTAAATGTCACACGCGACATTGATGAAATGTCGAATAAGAACGCAAAAACGTATTCTGGAATGGCAAATTCGACATTTGTTGTTAGACATAAAGTCGAGTGGTATACAACCAGTCGACATTGTAATGTCGCATGCCTTTTTAAATATGATGTTATGATATGAATGTCGTGACAGTGACAGTTTATATTTATGTTTAAGAAAAACGAAAATAAGTATTGTACAAATTGTTTTTAAAAATATATGAAATGGTTATTTACAATTTCACCTAAATTATCAATTATTAGTCCTGTCCAGTGTCGGATTGGGCCGTTGGTCTACAGGCAAAAGACCGGTAGGCCTTCGTTCAAGCGGTGGGCCCTCTTGCAGGCAGTGGGCCCTCTTTCAGGCAGTGGGCTCTCGTTTGGACAGTGGGTCCTCGTTCGGGCACTAGGCCTCAATCAGTGGGCCTCATTCAGTGGGCCTAAGTTAGTGGACCTCAGTCTGTGTGCCCTTGAGAATAAGAAATACGAAATAACCCTTGAAAAAAGCATCAATGTGCAAAGAAGGCCTTTTTTGCTCTTCAAGAAATCGGCCCATGAAAAAATATTGATAGGTGGGCCTTCTCCGTTCTAACCGGTAGAAACTGGAAGTCTCAATCCGACACTGCTCCTGTTTATCCAAGAGATTTAAAACCTGTTATTAAGAAAATTATATAGCTCTATTTTTTCAAATTGCAGACAAAAAGATTATATCACAGACATTGTATGTAAT